CGCGGCGACGGAGCTGCCGGCTCGGAGCGGGGTTAAATGGGAGCCTTAATTTGGGGTTTAATTAGCCCCGTGTTAATCTCGCCGCCGTATCTGCTCCCGGCCGGCCCGGCTGTCAGTCAGGGCATGGGGAAACCTGCCTGGCACGGCGCGGGGAGCGCCCGCCCGGGATGGGGCACGTGGAGGCCTCGGGAATGGGGGCGTGGGGATGGAGCGGGGACGGGCACGGGGACACGCGGCTGCAGCAGGGAGGGGACACGGGGGACAGCTCTGGGGACAGGGACGTGGCTGCACCGGGAATGGGGCACAGGGATGTGGTGGGGACGGGGAGCGTGGATGCAGATGGAACGGGGATGTGGGGATGGAACGGGGATGTGGGGATGGGTCGGGGATGGGGACAGGGACACCGGGCTGCTCTGGGGACGTGCGGGCACATCGAGGACAATTCCGGGCTGAACTGGGGACAGGGACATGCGGTGGCACCGAAAACAGGGATTTGTGGCCGCACTGGGAACTGGAACACGGGTGCAGAAGGAATTGGGACGTGTGGATGCACTGGGGACAGGGACACCGGGCTGCACCAGGGACACAGGGACTGGAAACAGGGACATGTGGTGGCTCCAGGGACAGGGAACTGGGCTGGGAAGGGTGAAGGGCACAGGGCCAGGCTGGCAGTGAGGAGGTGCTGCAATTCCCGTCACTGAGCGTGGGCTCGGGCACAAATCCCACTGGCACAGGGCACGGGGTGGGTGGCACGGGGCTGGGGACAGGGACAGCAGGGCTGGGGACTGCAGGGAGTGGCGTTTCCTCACCCCCTGTCACAGCTCTGGGTCCCCTGGGTCCTCCAGGTGAAGCCTGACCAGGGTCCTCACTGTGTGTCCCCATGTCCCCATCCCAGCCTTGCTGCACCAACCTGTCCCTGTCCCCCTCTCACTGCACAGACCCTTGTCCCCATGTCCCCATGTCCCTGTGTGTGTCCCTGTGTCCCCATTTCCTTGTGTCCCTGTGTGTGTCCCTGTGTCCCCATTTCCTTGTGTCCCTGTGTGTGTCCCTGTGTCCCATGTTCCCATCTCAGCCTTGCTGTGCCAACCTGGGCGTCCCCATTCCCCTCTCACTGCACAGACCCCCGTCCTTGTGTTCCTATATCCCTGTATCCCTATATCCCTGTTTCCCTATATCCCTGGGTGTGTCCCTGTGTCCCTCTCCCAGCCTTGCTGTGCCAACCTGTGTGTCCCTGCTTGGAAGGTGGCAATGCCACATGGGGCGTCCCCTGACAGCCTGAGCTGAGCTTTTGGGGTCCCCTTTGTCCCCTGCTCGGTGTCCCCTGGCTCAGTGCCACGTGGGGTGTTCCCTGGCAGCGCTGGGGTCCCGCTCTGGGGTGCAGGGACACATTTGGGGTGCGGGGCAAGTGACATGGGCACATCCCACACGAGGCCATCCCCGTGTCCCTGGTGACACCTGTGGAGCTTCCCGTGGCTTTTCCAAGCATGGCCAGAGCCAGAGCCCATCCCAGGGGTGCCCACGGGTGTCCCCCAACCCCACCCCTTCCTTCCACCCCAGGATGGAACCCCGGGGGCGAGGGGGGCTCTGCCCGACCCCAACCCCCCCCCAGCTGTGCCCTGGGGGACCCCCGGGTGGGTTTGGGGGTGCCGGGGCGGCGGTGCCAGGCGGTGAGTAAGCGGAGAGGGAGGGAGGGAGGGAG